CTTTATGTCAAAGATGGTATCCCGTCATGTGTAAAATGAGTTATAGAACTAATTATGTATCTACACACCAAAAAATTATGAATTTTAATGGTGATGTAAATATCCATGCATGCTAAAATTGAAGCATGTAAACTTCCTTTTTACGTAAACTAGCAACTTGCAAGAAATATTGCTTACAAAGATGGATGGATGCATACAATATTTAGAATATTTCATTAAATGACTCATAAATTTACATGATCTGTAATGTGAATTTGTATGATATGTGACGCTCCATTTTCTTTATTTCCCTCAAACAACACCATGATGACGTCATGCTCGTTTGGCTACACTAACTGACAGTTCGTTTGGCTATATTATACTTTTCCTCCGCTTATCTATGGAATCTATAGTATCTATAGTATAGTGCAGAGTGGTTCAGGATTGGAACTTTGTAAGACAATAGTCTGGTGGTTTTGTTTTAAGTTTTAGACGTTTTGTGCCACCGAAGAATTTTTTTTGCATAAAAATCTCCTTCTTTTGTCCGGTTTTTTAATTAGGGTGATCGGAATAGCTGAGGTAATTCCTAGCAACTTTGTCCAAGAGATTTTTCTCTCCCATAACGTTCTCATTTCAGAGCATTTTTTTCTGAATTGAGTAAGGGTGTACCCAACAATTCTAAAATGAGAACGTAAAGAGATAAATAAATGTTTCTTCGACAAAGTGAAGTGCTATTCTCAAAAACAAGAAAGTTAGTTTTTGATTATAAATTATTTTGAGGACCACCCTAATTCAAAAACGGCCAAAAGAAGCAAAACAAACTTTAACGTATAAAACTATAAACAAACGGATTAGACTTTTATCCTGCTAAATTACCATCCTGGACCACTGTGCAGTGGTTGCCAATGGATCATTGAAGATGCTGAGGTTTTGACAGCACCGTACTGTGGCTACCACAGTATTTTACATTGGTTCGTCCGTATACAGTAGCGCCAAATGAAAGCTGTGGTGGGTTCAAAACTCAGCCATCTAAAATGATCCATTCAACTGATTTTTAATATAAGCGTCTATTGTCTATAGAGTGACTCTACTATAAGAGAGGAGCGAACTAGCTGGTTTGAGCCAAAATAACTGTCAATGCGAGTGCCTATCTTGATTTCATTGACAGTGACGCTAGAAACCACCCTACTTCTTCGTATGCAAGTATTAAGTGTTCAGGTTTTGGATTAGGATCGTGCCCTTACCTCTAACTTTGGAGTCAACCCGTGAGGAGGGTAATTTGAGTGGAGTTTCAAGATTAGGTTGTTCGAAGCTTGTTGGCTAGAATTTTCAAATTCAAAATAGCAACAAGCTGTTTGGTGACATTTGTGTTACTACGTATTTTTTTATTTATATTCGTATGTACGTTCATAGCTCACACAGAAATCATGCAAAACTCTGTTACATCTTGAAAGTCTGTATGTGCTGTTATACATAGTTATATCAATTATCTAACAGTAACAGTTCTTTGCCATGATTCATTTTGCATTGAGATACACAAAATAAGTTAACAAGATTTCAACTGTTAAAATTAATATCCACAAGGCCTGGAGTACTGCGTCAAACTGAAAATTTCTGCTCAAATCCCAACACGAAGATCTCCTCCAATTACTTTGTGACAAACAACGTGGAAAGATTGATCGAAAAGGCAAAGGAGGTGTTAAAAACTATGGCTAAGGTCTAGCTGTCACAAAGTTACATGAAATAGCTTGACCTATTTTTTTTTCCTAGTAAAACAATCAGCACTAATTACAACCGAAATTAATCGTTTGGTTCTATTGTATGTAGATTTTTTTGTCTAGCTAGTTTTGGAAAATTACTACTTTTTTTAATGCAAACGTTAAAAGGTGTGAAAGTTTCGTTTTATAGTAGCTTACTTATTAGATAAGGTAAACTATTTAAATACGATTATGTGGATTTGTGTCGTGTGTTTGATGATGTAGATTGAATCATTTCCTTAAAGCTATTTAAGGTATGTAGCATAATGAGTTCTTGGAACACTCCAGGAAATGGATTTATTTTTTCGGTGAAATTTCTTCTTCTTGTTTGAGAAATCCGCTAAAAGTTTGGTGATGTTGCATTGGTTCTTAATTCATAAACCACAGCAAATTTAAGGGTATTATAATGTTTTATTTTTATTTTCAAGTTTGCTATAATATGATGAAGGCCCGATATTGGCAAGATGCCTCAAAGCATTTAATTTGCTCTTTTTAATCTTAAATATTTAGTAATTTCTTAGATTTTTTGGATATTGTAATTATATAATTTGTTGGAAGCCATAAGGCAGTCTTCAAGAGCATCGCTTTGCTCAAAGATTATAAAAACAAGCTTTCAATTGATCTAGTAAATCAGTCACGATTTGATAAAATCTATGCATTTTCCCAATCTCAGCATGCATGATTCACTTCATGGATTCATCTTTCATAAACTATATTGAAAACTGTTTGACTATATGAACATTCTTGGCGCATTTTTCATTTAGAATTGATTAAAAAGCACAGAATACGCATTGGCATTTCCCGAGAATTTCATTTCACTAACAGTAGGGGCGGGGTAATGAATGAAAGTACAACATTGAATTAAGCGGCAGGTTAGGCTAACGAGTTAGTCCTTGATGTTTGTTAAATTCACGAGTTTAGAAAGGAAAACTTGTGAAAAACTGCATAGGGCGTTTAATCCCAGGGACTGTTTTCCTCTATTGAATTGTACCTAAACCTGGGCTTATGTCTCGAGCCGTCTAGCCCAATTCAAAAAGAATTCAATCGGCTAGGTAATTACAGTCGAATAAATCAGTTGTTGAAACTTAAATTGGTACAGCTCCATTAACAAACAATAAAGTCATAACAAATACAGAAAACAGGATTGTTTGGCAAGCATAGAAAAACTATGCATGGGATCGATCATGATTCGAAAAAAAAAATTAATCCAAGCTGCTCTTGGTGTGAGAATTTTTGAAGACTGCCAGAAAGTTAAAAATCTTGTGTTGCCAAAATTAAAACCTTACTTTAGTCATTTGAAAATATTAATAATGATTGTGCAAGAATAACAAACGACTGCACGACCTTTTATAAAGAACAACAACCAAATTCAGTGTTCACTCGGCTGACAAAAGCAGGCCACTCTCGATGTGTGCCACACGATCGTCTGTTTTCTCGGCAGCAACCATTGTGTGGTCCTCCTTATTGTTCTTCATCAGCAGTTGTTTCATTCGATGCGTCGTCGACTTTGGAAAGCAACCGTTTAGTGATGATTGTGTGAGTGCTGACTACGTTTTGCGTCCATTGCTGCAATAGAAGCGCTCTGACCCTCGTTCGCGTAACTGCCATACAATGAAACCACTGGAAGCAACTCCAGTTCTGATTGAGGAGGCTTTTTGGATAGCGGATGATAAAGTGTTTATTGTGTTGTACCTTTTGACTATAGTTTTAAGATGTATTGTATAGTGACCAAGAATTCTCGGCTCCCCGTCTCGATGAGTCTCATCGTCGCCCACTGGTCACCCACCATAACCGGTCGAACTCCAGACGAAGCTAGAACAGCACTACCGTTCATACTGGCGACAACGCTCTGATGAGACAACGTTACCCTACCCCAAGCTCCTCCCCTGATCCTATCCTTCGAAAATGTACCCTTCTAACCTCGAGTAAGCCGCGAGTAATCGGCCCAACTCCTACTAGACATAGAATTAAGGGAATTTTGTTACACACAGTGAACAATGAATTATCGGCTCCGTAAAGCTAACGCGATTGAGCCTTCCAAATAAACGAACTAGATAAAAAAAAGAATTCTCGGCTCTGTAAAATTAATTCGTTTGAGCCTTATCAAATAAATCAATAAACAAAAACAACCAAATTAAATATTACAGTCATGAAAGTCGATTTATACCGCGTGGAACTGAAATCCATGCACCCCATACAATAATTATGCATTTTGTATGAGGTGTACAGATTTAGATTAAATTTTTAGGTCTAGGTACGGATTGAATATTTGTTAACTAACGATTAATTCATTATTGATTTTCAGGACTTAGAAACATGCTAATTTGCGTTCGTTCTAAAAAAATATTCCATTTTTAATCTAAAACTGCTGATGGCGTAGAGCTGGACACCTCTTACTCAAACTTTGACCCTAATTTCAAAAGCTGTTACACTTAATAAAAAATTTCAAAACACTGTCAGCCTTGTTTAAACAATCGAGTCTTTCCATTGCGGTGAAATTGTTTTGAAACCATAAAACTAGTGAATTTAAATGCTTGAATTTTACCGAACAGTTCAGCTGTTGAAAGTTCGGTTAAAATTACCGAAGTCGCTGATAATTACTAAGTGTGTAGGTAGATTAAATTAGCACATCAATTGCAAGTTTGAAATTTTATGGATTATACATATTCTATATATGACATTTTAATAATACAATTTACAGAGTTGAAAATTTCAAATCTGCAATCGACTAGTATTCAACAAATTTAACAACCATAATCGCTACATTAAAATAAAGAAAACAACAACTAGCTAAAATCACCATAATAAATAAATAAAATTTAACAATAAACACAAACAGACTAGCAAATGGTAGTAAAATAAAAGTAATAAATAAAAAAGGATACTTAAATGCTCAAAAAAGTCAACACTATAAGCAAGGATCAACAGTAAACAACAACGGAAGCTCTGGGTTAATATTCTGCGCCAACTCTAAGCACTAAGCGGGTTCTAAGCGGTTAACGACTGTGCTCCGGTTATCAGTGCAAAGCCAGTAACCAGCGGAAGCGAAAGCGGATGCTCATAGGCACATATATTGCGTGGTGGGAGGAAGCTGTAACGGAAGAAACATAAGCGTAATTTTTGCTGCAACGTAGCCGAAATACGAACTGATAAGTAAGAGCTAGGGATACGAATAAATTGCATAAACTATCAGCAGCTATGAAAGCACTTTAAAGGTAGCGTTGCTATAGCCATGGGTCACCGATTTGAATATACTTTAAGTACCTTTCCCAGATCGGAACTGGTATCGCTAGACAGCCGTGCTCGTTTCATCTGCTGCGATGTCTCCAACTCTTCGTGTCGACTGGGTTGCGTTTGGCTGTTGGCAAAAACAAGATTGATTTAACAGGAGATTAAAATCTATAATGATGAATAAAAATTACCATAAGCCGGTAAGTCGAATGCTGGCGGAATGACCGAATCCACATTCTTTGACTACCTGTCGAGCCAGTGGAAACAGTTCGTCTCGTCGAGTGAGAAGAGCCGGAACGTATTTGCATATCTGGGCGGCAGCTTCGTTTACACAGACTTCGTGTAGAGTTAACGGCTTTTCAGGTCGCCGTTTACAATCAAAGCGACCGTAGATAGCGGAATACTTCCGAATCTCTTCCATCCGACGAGGATCGTGTTCGCTCATGGCGATTACTTGCTCCAGATCGCGCGTGGTTCGTTTTTTGACATTTTGCTGTCGTGGTTCTAGGTGCCGTGGAATGGTTCGGGAGAGTCGTTCAGCTGCTTGAATAATCTTGGCAACCTGATCTTCAGTAAGGCAAGGTGTCAGCTGAAGTGGGTTTGCCGTGGTTGATCCGATAGGACTGACCACGTTGCTACTTATACTGATACTGCTACTTAGGCTAGTAGCTAGATGCCCCAGTGTAGATGGTTGCAGATTTGTACTGGATGAAGGGTTTGTAATAAAGCTAGATGTCGGTGCGGATGCTGTAGGATAATTGCTGACACTACGTGCTATTGAACCTGGACCAGGACTGTAAGTCAGACGTGATGGTGTGTCTATACTTGTGAGAGGACTTTGGAAAGCGGAAGGATTCGTGACCCATTCTTGCAATGCTTTCTGTAGTCGCCGCACATGAAGAGGTTTCGACGCCATCCCAACTAATGCCATTATTTCTAGAAATTCTTCTTCGCAAGCCTCGCACAGTTGTTGGAGATCGTCACCGCCTAGAATGGAAAGACCGTTATTTCCCATCACACCCCAAATCATCCGCGTAAAAAATCTTACCCATTTCAAGCAACGTATCATAATAATTCAACAAACTTGCTCGCTGCAACACCCGGTAAAGTTGAAGTTCAGCTTCGTTGGACGGGGTAGATGTTTCAACCACTGGAAAAAAAATGAATAAAACAAGTTTAGCAAACATTCTAATTATTCTAGTATTGTATAGCTCTGAAAAATAACGGTCGAATTGTGATCCAAAAAATAACCCCTTCGCAAACTGCCAAATAGCATCTCCTTCCGTTGAGTTTTCTAATTTATGCCTTTATCATTAATTTTTTTTTAAATCATCAATTTCCCCATCATCTTTGCGCGTCTTGAAAATCGCCTTATTATTGTGTCAAGAAGTTCAACGAGTAGAGAAGGCGCAAAGATTCGGTGCACAACGTGTTCGGAAAATCGTACAAAAGGATGCTGTGAAAACCGTTACAACCCTACCGATTTCGGCAAGAATCTTATGCGTGGTAACTAGTTCATCCCTTCCAAAATGAAAGGAAAAAAAAAACTTCTCTGCATCGTCGTCTCCGCTTCGGTGATGGGACTCCGAAAGGGAAAGCAATAGCAACAGCACAAGCAGCCAGTCAGAGTGGGAAGGGTTTGTCTGCAGAAATCACGACCCACGTATAGCAAATCACACAACGATCCGAACAAATACAAACCCAGTGCGGGACGTATCCGAATGCTCCGAATGATTTATCCGAGTGGGTAAAGTAAAAAAAAAGTCTGTGGGTCTGAAACCACACCTCCCAGAGCAGCAACCCTCGATCGGAAGGGAGAAGACAGTCTTCGCATGAGGATCTTTGCCGGTATCACGTGTTCTTGCTACAGCTTCTACTGGTGTGATTGGCATATCGACGTGCACGTGGACATTGAGGAAGACGAGAGAAGAAGGATTGTTTCTTGCTGGATGCGGGTAGAATATGCGTGATCGATTTGGATGCGATCCATTGTATGGTTATGGTTATGGTAGTAGAATTTCGCAAACTTGAGATATTTAAAGCAATGCATTAAAATTGAATTGCACTGGATGTTTTTAAGGAGGTTCTATGAATAGTTTCACAGAATTTGGAAACGGAAAGTTGTCCATTTAAAAATAGTTTAGAGTGAGGAATGTACCTCAACGTTATCAGGATGAGATGGAACTAATTCTATCCTTATACCTTTGTACTATATTTGCCTTCATAGAATTCAATACAATACAACAATAAGAATTCCGACAAACAGACATAACTCATTCAATATTTAGCATTATTAAACGTGATTAAACAAATGGTGGTAGTGTGCGAACGTCACACGCAAGGAAATTGATTATGCGCGCCAGGGCAGTGCTACTAACTAAGAAATATTTAAATTAACCTTTAAATGCGTGTTCGATGATCAACTTGCGAGAGTTATGTCTGTTTACCTGTGATAATTGCTTCGGTAAACTCCCAATCATCTGCACGGTGAATGAGAACGACCCAAATTTGAGTGCAGGAACTCAGCAATGAGTAAATTTGCCTCATGGTTTCCTGTTAAAACCTCAAAAATTTTATTCAGTCTAGGAGTAATACCAATAGACTGAGTGAATCAAATCTTCACTTTTCTCATATTCGGGATTTTTTTCTAGGAAAAACCTGATAAAACATGAGGCAAATTTACTCATCACTGAGCTCCTGCACTTTATTTGATTTATGAGTTAACTAAACTCAAATTTTGGTCGTTGTCATTCGCCGTGTGGGAAACCCCAGGGTTATTGGATCATTAGAACCCCTACAACCGGAGAATCATGAAACTATTCGCAGAACTCTTAATAGTGTGTAAAATTTCCAAAGATTCTTGCATCAGAACTCCAGATTCCCCACAAGTTTTGGAACTGCTGGAACTCAAAGAATGAGAAACATTCAAACTGCAATAATATCCGAAACTCTTCCATAAGGTCAAGAGTATGCTCTGTTCTATGTAAGGAAAAGTTGTGTCAGGCTGTTTTTAATCTGAATTTTCATTTCAATCTAATGGGGATACATAGTTTGGCAAAGTGACAAATACGAGGAAAGGGACGGGCCTGGGATTGAACTCCCGACCTTCTGCTTAGTAAGCAGAAACGGTAACCACTAATCTACCGAGCCTCGTCATTGCGTGTCTTCTCCTTCTCCTCCTCTTCCTTCTTCTTCTTCTTCTTCTTCTTCTTCTTCTTCTTCTTATTCTTCTTCTTCTTCTTTTATGCTACTCTTAAAAACATATGATAATTATGTCATTTCTCCCGCATTTAATATTCCATAGTTCCATATTTTCCCTAACTCACTGTTTCTAAAGGTCCCTTCAATTTTGCAAGTAACCATCTCTTCCTAGCACGATATTTCTCTAACTTGATATTGTGCTGTGCTTTGGTTTTTAAACTACCGTGAAAATTTTCGATCGTTGAAAAAAATTACTCACAAAGCGCTCTTGAAAATAAAAGCAACGATATCCACCAATGTATGCAGCAAACGGTCATTTCGTCATTTTGCCGAAAAACATTTCGCCACCAGTAATCTTTTTTTAAACGTGCGCAGTTATTCCGAGATTTACTACTTATGTGAACATTTTTTGAAAACTAGGATTAGAAAGTTTCATTAAATTTATAATTATTTCATTTGAATGAACCTCGTTCTTTCTTTAAATTTACCGCAAACAATTCATTAACTTAGATTAGTTTTCCATCTTCTAAACATGAGCAGTTCTTTCAAGATTTATCATTGTTGTAAACGATTTTGAGATCTAGGAATCAAGAAGTCTTTGATGTTATTTTGCCTTCTTTTAAAAACTAGTTCTATGCTTTAAATTTATCACATACTGTTTCTTTAATAATTTTGTTTAAAATGTATTAAAAAAAACACAATTTTCGAAGTTTTGCCGTTAGGCGACGTTGCAAACGTCCCACATTTTGGCCACTCTATGGCGTCTTAAGTTAGAAAAATGCGATTTGTTTGTATAAAAATTATATTAAGATACAAAAATATCAACGCATTTCAGTAAAATTACCATAAATGTGTATATATTTCAAAAGCTTTTTGCTTTCCAAAACCGCTTAAAAATCAATAATCGGTTGAAAAATGATTGAGTTACTCATGGTAGTATGCAGAAGCTTACCCAAAATCGATTTTTAACAATAACTTTCAATTTGTTATTCAACAATAACAATTCAATGTTAGAACAATTTCAAATGCGATTGCATGGTGTTATTGACTAGGCTAACAACCCACAATGTATTTTTTTGTCGTGTAACACCGTGTAATTCAACTGAAAATTATGTGCGATAGTATGATCTTTTACACGTATTTCCCGACAGCATTGGTGTTAGGGAAACACGATAATGTGAAGCGTGTCATCCGGAAGATATTGGGTATACATGTACGTGAAAATGGAGATTCCCTCTTCGCTTAATTTACTCAATCAGAAGCGAAATATATTTGTTGATGGGAATAAGGATAAATGCTTCCTGTGCAAGATGGAGGGTCATCGGATAAATTCCCGCTCTAAGCTGAAGGCCTGAAAGCAGCAAGCACAACAACAATCGGAAGAAGAAAAGCAACATAAGAACGAGGACCAGAGTAATTATAGTATGTAAGCTGGTGTAGTGGCTGGAGGTGCATCGTTGGATACCAACCATAAGGAAACAGAGAAAGTGGTTGAGGTACTGGAAGAAAAGATAGTTGAAATTGATGTGAGGTTAAGAAGAAGTTAAGTTAAGTTTTTTTTTATTAAGGAGGCTTTCAGTCTGGGACTGGTTCGCCTCCAAAGGCCAAGAATAACAGTGGATAGGAAGAAAGCGATGCCCAGAAACAGCAGCCACCTCTTTTCAAGCATCGGAAGGACGCGTACTACTTCAATGTTAGAGTTAATTGGAAACAAATGAGCTTTCTTACCCTACACACCAAAAAATTATGAATTTTAATGGTGATGTAAATATCCATGCATGCTAAAATTGAAGCATGTAAACTTACTTTTCACGTAAACTAGAAACTTGCAAGAAATATTGCTTACAAAGATGGATGGTTGCATACAACATTTAGAATATTTCATTAAATGACTCATAAATTTACACGATCCGTAATGTGAATTTGTATGCTATGTGACGCTCCATTTATGTGCATCAAAGTGACAGAAATGTACACTACTTTTTCGAACTGTGTACCCAGAATCCTCATACAACTATTTTTTAGAAAATTAATTTCATGATTTTTCGAGAGCTTCTTCTAAGTTTCGATTTGAAAATGGTAAATTTAAATAAATGTATTATATTTTATTATTTTCTAAATCACGCACAATAAACCCAACTGATTTTATCGCTATTATGATTAGATCTTTGCCAATGTGTACTTACTCATCCCATCGGGTTTGCACTTGTCATAGAACATTTTTAACATTCTCACAGTGTCTCGCCTGTTACGTTCTGCTGTGGTCAGTTCTGACTCTACGTCTTTAGGTATAGGTTTTATGATCGCGCTCTATCATGCCTTTACTGGTTCTTTATTTCGTTTTTATGAGATTTGAAGTTTGGTTTAGTGAAATGAAGGTTTTTAGCAATCAATATTCAAGACGGTGAATACATCAATTTGATTCCAATGTATGTTTCAAGTACATTTTGCAGACGATTCCGTTGTTTTTAAATTTCATTTTAAGTTAGGTATCCGGGAATTCGATATGAGATATTTTTCAAAAAGGTGTTTCTTTGTAACATATTTTAATTATTGAAAGCTGCAATAAAACCGATGTAATTCGAGGGCATTTCCGAGTAGAAAATAATGAAAATATTAATTTACATAGGAGTAGTTCTGAAAAAGTTAATAATATTAAGGTTCAAAGTGAAGTGATACAACATAATTTGAAAATTGACAGTAGATCCACAACGCAAAATATTCACTAAAATGCAACCTTAGTGTTGAATGAAAGTCAACAAGAATGTGTAGAATAGAATTCACGAATAATGATCTAAGATCCATTTTGAGTTCAATATAACGATCTCTCCCTCTCGTTACCTGGTTTCAACATTCTTAACCAAATTCTTAGGAGCATTTCCACGGTTATTGATTATACCAGTTTTATTTGCATAACCACTACCACTAACGACTACCAAGAGGAAATTT